AGAGCAGGATCATAGCTCAAAAATGCAGTTTCTGTGTGTGATTGCTGGTTGCGATGAGGTGCCCACTGCAGGGCCCTAGAGTGTGACCCATTTGCTGATTTATTTATGTAAATAACTTCTCAAATTAAGTTTGCATTACGGGGCTGGTGAAGTGCAACAGCGTGCGAGATATTTTAATCTGCAACACCTGTGCGCCAAAGTCTATTACAGCCAGTGTGACAGCTATTAGAGCTGACATTTTACAAAGACTGCTGAAAGCACAGCCTCGAGCATATTAGCCAACACACACTCTTGTGCATCTCTCTCCCCCTACTGAGCCTGGACACAGTAGCATGATGTGACCTAAATACACCCATCTGTGTGTATGAAAGTGTAGGGTCATTTTGGCCAGGACCCAGCTTTATGCTCTGGGGCCTTCCTTCCCTAAGAGGCTCTTGTGCGTGCAGTGTCGTAATGGGTCAACAGTGTCAGGCAGCGAATCCAGCACAAGGCCATCTAGTTTGTTGTGCAGGGAGTGAGGGAAGCTCTAAGCTAACAGTTCTCACTGAAGTCCAGCACAGAGTTCTGTCCGTGTACCTCCAATACTATAAAACCACTGAAAAGTCAGTATAGCAGCACCCCGACTCATCAGATAATTACCAAGCCATTCATGAGAGGAAGCAGCAGGGTCGAAGTGGAACGCTACACCATGTAGCAATGTGGCACATCCAGACTGCTCAAAAGACATTATGAGGTCATGGCTAACCATTTGAATCACTATACAAGACCCACTGGCCATTAGTTGCAATCAGAGATGTTTTATGCAAGTCTCAGGCAAGGCTAAAGTCTCTGAGGTATGAGTTCAAGGTAGGTCTTGAGTCTCTGAGGTGAGAGTCCAAGTTGAGTCCCAAATCTCTGAGGTGTGAGTGAAAGTCAAGTCCCAAGTCTCTGAAATGTGAGACCAAGTTGAGTCCACAAGATACGGGATCAAGTCAAGTCCAAGTCGTTGAGGTGTGAGTCTAAGTCTTGTCTCATGTATCTGAGGTGCGAGTCTAAGTCAGGAAGAAAAATATAACAACTTATATTAACAATAGTTTGGAAGATCTCTGTAACTTATTAAAAACAAGTCAATACAGGGTATGTCTGAATCAAGTTGCAAGCCAATTCAGGACAAGTCTGTGTCAAGTTGCATGACAATTCAGGGCAAGTCTGAGTCAAGTTGCAAGCTGACACAGGGCAAGTCCGGGTCAAGTTGCGAGTCAATTTAAGGAAAATCCGAATCAAGTTGCGAGCCAATTCAGGGCAAGTCCGAATCTTGTTGCAAGGCAATTCAGGGCAAGTCCAAGTTAAACTGCTACTCAATTAATGGCAAGTGTAAGTTGCAGGTCAACACAGGGCAGGTTTGAGTCAAGTTGTGAGTCACTTGAGTTGCAAGTCAATTAAAGGCCAGTCCGAGTTGAGTTACAAGTCAATTCAGGGTGAGTCGGTCAGCATGCGACCTGAGCACCAATCTTTCAGTAATCCTTCCCGCATTCTCAAATTTCTTAAAATGCTATGAAAATGATCAGGCATCCAGCTGGCACATAATAAGCATAAATTGGGGAGCTCTTCCTACGCATTTTGAGATTGAGAAAATTCTGCACTTGGACTATAAAGACCATCAGGAATGATTACTGGTGCCAACAATGAAGGCTTGTGAATTTGTGATAAGGATGACTCAAGTCCGTCAGCAACGTTACTGGTCCTTAATCTGTTAATACTTGGAGCTGAATCACACTGACCAAGACAGGCCTGCATACGCTCACCAAGCATACGCTGTGAGGTTGCATGCAGAGAAGACAGAGAGTAAGCACATGGCTTGTTCAAATCAAATTGTACATATTGTATTTGTCCCTCCCCATACCATCCCCCCCAAGGGATCATGAGTGATTCATATAAAGACACAACGTCATAATTCGACATGGCACAAGCAAACAAAAGGTAAATGGCTGTGCTTGGCCTGTTAGCCTCTGGGCTCATGTTGTGGAGGTCTGGAGTGAAAGCCTGCATTGTATTGCAGTGTATTGTCAGTAACGATAAACCAGATGGACGGGCCTGCAGTTCTGTAGTCTGCAACTTGTGAATGCTGACTGGCCACTCCTGAGGCAGCAAGCAGTCTTGTTTCATCAATTGACGAAACCAGTTGTGCTGGTGGAGGCAGAACTTTTAAGCTTGTAACTGGTCTGAGATCATTTGTACGATTTAGATTAGGAATTTAGGAGGGTTCAACTGAATTTTAGTCGCATGAAACAAATAAATCATGACATAAAAGACTAACCTATAGCCAGTGCTCTAGTCCACACTGACGGAGCAACTATGTTAATGAAAGAACCAGTGCTAGATGCTGTCTAACCTTCTCAAATTAAAAGGGAATCAAGGATCAGATCCCTCCCCCCACATACCTTAACACAAAGACAACACAAAAAGAATCCAAGATCATAAATAATCTTTGTTATATCTTTGGATTTATTTGGAAATGTGAGAACTGCTGGTGAAAGTGCTTGTACAAACTGCGTGGACGAGTTAGAGAAGAAACATGGCTCAATTAGACAAATTTGGGAGGTAATTGTTTCCAATGCATCTGCAGTTTAGTGGAGGGTAACAAAGGCAAGACAGCAGGCAACAGAAGCACTGCCGAAACTATAGTACAAACTGACCAGTTTAACAACTGCTGGTTGAACAATCAGTGCCAATATTAGATTGGCCATGTCCAATTCCAGTAATGCCCTCTTTTACTGTCCCTGATGTTCTAGGTATTAAGCAGGTAACATAAGCATCTGTCTATGTCTCGGCTTCTGTATCTACAGTTTTGGACTATATATGCCCCCATCTCCATCCCCACCTGTTTTCCAGAACTAGGCGTCACCAGCCTGGTGATCACCGGCCCTACATTTGTTAGTAATTTCAGCCATCCTTACCCTCATGTGTTGCCGATCATGCCAGCGTGATCAAATCACGTGACTGGTTCATGTGACAGCATAAAAAGTCAGGTTGAGCATTGGTGCCACCTTCCATCAAAAGTGCTGGCTTGTGCCTAAAAGTATGCAATATGGAATGCGGCTGGTGTTGCTTTTATCATATGAAGAAACAGTAAAAAAGTCTGACTTTGCAGACTCTGTTCTACAGGCTGAATATACTAGGTTGGTCAGGGAGGGACAAACTGAGTGGAGGAGCAGGAGAGAGGGAGGGAGGAAAGAGACAGACAGAGACAGAGGGATTGTTTTTAGGAATTTTGGGGAGTTTGAAGTTGCTATTTTTAATGTGGTATATAAAAGTGTTCAAAAACAGCCAAAATACTCGAGACTCACAAGGGTTAACCTCTTCAGTTCTCATTACACTTTTTGAAGTCTCTTTTTGTTTCTCTAGTTCTGAGCCTCTGTGTTTGGTTCTTTCTTCTGGATTTTTGACTCCATTTCTGTTTGAAGCCAGACCTTGGGCCTGCTTTTCCTGTATTAGCCTGTCTGCTGGCATTTTGACTTCAGACTGTTTGACCTAGATTTTGGGTGTGAATTTATTTAACTGCATCCAGACTCCTCTCATTTGTGACAATAAGACGTGAGGGTGGGGTAACACTTATCACTGGGCTCCTGAGTGGTGCAGCTGTCTAAGCATTGACCCAATCATCAAGAGATTGTAAATTCAATCACAGGTTATGCTACAGCCATCCGTGGCTGGGAGTCTGAGAGAGCACCTGGAGTGACACGGATGTGGTGGTGGTATGTTGGTGTGTGTTGCGCTGGTGTGAGTGGATCAGACACAGCAGTGCTGCTGGAGTTTTAAATACCTCAGTGTCACTGTTGGACTGAGAACCAAAATATCCAGCCAACGGTGTCCTGTGGCCACTGATGAAGGACTTGAGGATGACCAACACAAACTGTGCAGCAATAGATGAGCTACTATCTCTAACTTTATATCTACAAGGTGGACCAACAAGGTAGGAGTGTCTAATAGAGTGGACAGTGACTGGACACAGTGTTTAAACACTCCAGCAGCACTGCTGTGTCTGATCCACTCGCACCAGTGCAACACACACTAACACACCACCACCATATTAGTGCTGAGAATGAACAATCACCCATATAATACTCTGGTGGTCCTATGGGGGTTCTGCCCATTGAAGAACAGGGTAACAAAGTATGCAGAGAAACAGCTGGACTACAGTCTGTAACTGTAGAACTACAAAGTGCTCCTATATAGTAAGTGGAGCTGATAAAATGGACAATGAGTGTAGAAACAAGAAGGTGGTTTGAACAGTATCCAGTCTATGAAGATATATATAGTTACCAACATTACACTGCTGTTGGTAGCTCATTTTATTGATGCCTCTTTGTGATGTGGTGTAGAGAAGACAACAGGCATTGAAATTGAACGATCGCTCTTTTTAGGCCTTCAGGATTTATATTAGTAAGTTGTTGTGTGATAGCTTGTTGCGGTCCACAGAAATCTAACATTTTGGTGTTTACAGCAAAATTCCCCCAAAAGCAGAGAGGACAGACAGCATAAAGGAAAGAGAGTTTAAATTTAATGGAGATGGATCACTGGAGCGAGGACAGGATGAAGAGAAAGAAGGCAGAATGAAAAGAGTATGGTGCAATATAAGGAGCAGGTTGAGTCAGGGAGGAAGCAGCTGTGGTTTCTTACCAGGAAAGTCCACCATTTGAAGTTATTTAAGCCAGTTAATTAATTCAACCCAATGTAATTAAAGGTTTTGTTGCCCTACACAGTCAGTACGCTATAGCAAATGTTTTATAAGCTTAAATGAAGTTTGTCCCAAGTTACCTGAAACTGTTAAAGTGAAAACGCTGTCTAACTTTGTTCCAGGGTCTGCAAAACTATATTCCCATTTATATCTAGGAGGCTTGTGACAGCTCACAAAACACTTAAGTTATGAGTATATAGCTTTTATGAAGGTCCTCTGGTGCATTTACTGCGGCCCACTTTTGTTCGTCTTGTTAGTGTTGTGTAGTGTGACAGGTGCTCACTTGTTTTGGTGCTTGGAGCCCTGCAGGTGTGCATGGTACTGTGCCACAGAGTTGAGCGTGACACTGCACACGTCGCAAGTGTAACTCCGCTTCAGACCTGCGGAGAAACCAGAGACAATTGTTAAAGAAGTAGCCCCACAAGGCAAAACGTCAGAAGGTCTGGTCAGTTTTGCCTCTTAAATGTTCAACAAGCGCCTATGTTGACATTTTACTGACATACAAAATAATCCTCCACAAACTATTGCTTTTGCATGACCTATAGGACCAGTTGACCTTTAAAAACAACAAAAATACAATCACGGTCCATACGCAAAGAAAATATATTTACTTTTATTTTTCAAAACATAATTCTGAAGTCTATCGACATATATTTCTGACACATTTGTACATATTAAAAACTGACACTTTTACATGTATTTAATCTACATATATGAGCATGTATTTGAATATATCCACATATATGTCAATGCTATAAAATGGCATGACATAAAAACTCCCTTGATGTCTCTGAAAACATAAATTACTATTTCATTAATGCTTAAATACCATTGATACATAATGTGGCATATGTATTTGGGACATGAGGAAATTTATGTACATGTATTTTTGTTTGATTGGAATTTTAGTGCTAAGCTGTTACATATATTACACACACACACACACTCACATAAATATATATATATATATATATATATTGTTATGTTATATATACTTCAAAGAAAACTCCTGAATAACTTTTAAATATGTAGGTCCAATTTTTTTTTCGATCCAGTAACTACAGCTTGCTGTAAGACAGATTAGGCAATTGCTTGCAAAAGTTTGTTTCCCATCAGACAGATTAATTTTAGCCCACAGAAGTGCATACATATGGATGTGTGGATAGCCAATCAGTACGCAATTGACAAAAAACCTGACAGCTGTGGCTAGCTTAATGTGCAATTGATATCAGTCATGTGGGCGGAGCACCTGACACTGACCCTAGCGAGCACTATGCTACACAACCTAATGTAGCACAACTAAGCTCAGTCCAAACCAACCCAGCACAAACTAATCCAGCCTAGTCAAAGTAGGCCTAAACCGAGCGCAACATAGTTACACACACCACAAAACAGACCAGCAAGTCCTGCATCTCACATCCAGTCAAGGGTGATTAAATCAAGTACATGCCGAGCATTATGGCAACATCAATCATATCCAACTGCAATAAAAATGCAAGTATTAAAGATTTTTATTAATGTGATATCAGGGGTCATTAGGAGACATTACTTTCAGTCACAGCGTATTAATTACACTGTAATTTCCACAACAGCTGACACATCTGCTCTTCCAAGCCACTGTGGTATTTGATAAAGCGAGTTTATATACATTATGACATCCCATTCTAAATCCATACACATTAATATGGAGTTGCAGACATAACAGCTTCTACTCTTCTGGGAAGCTTTCTATAAGATTTTGGAGTGTCAGTGGGAATTTTTGCCCATGCATCCTGAAGAGCATTTGTGAGGTCAGACACTGATGTTGTGTGAGAGGGCCTGGCTCCCAATCTCTGTTCTAAGTCATCCCAAAGGTGTTCAGTGGGGTTGAGGTCAAGGCTCTGTGAGGGCCGGTCAAGTTCTTCCACGCCAAACTCACCCAGCCATGACTTTATGGACCTTGCTTTTTGTACTGGCGCTCAGTCATGTTGGAACAGAAAAGGTTCTTCCCCGAACTGTTCACACAAAGTTGGAAGCATACTTGTCTAAAGTGTCTTGGTCTGCTGAAGCAGTAAGTTGTCCATTCACTGGAACTAAGGGTTCTAGACCAACCCCTGAAAAACAAGCCCACAGCATCATCCCTCCTCCACCAAACTTTACAATACTGCAGTCAGGCAGGTAACGTCCTCCTGGCATTCGCCAAAACCAGACTCGTCCAACAGACTGCCAGTTAGAGAATTGTGATTCGTCACTTCACAGAATACATTTCCACTGCTCCAGAGTCCAGTGGCGGCATCCTTTGGGCAGCAGAAGTGCTTAAGAACTCTTACCATGCTTGTTTTCAGTTCTAGTTCTGGGCACTGAAAGCTGACCAGTCCAGAGTGATTTGAGAGGCCTGTTAGGTTGTTGATCTTCAAGCAGATCAAAGAAATAATCTAATCCTAAGCCACTATATTAAACTACTATAACAAAATGTTCCATGTAACTCTGTTGTCAGATAAATTAGGACACTGTTGACTGAAATGTTAAGCTGCTAGTGAGCAATGAGGGGTGAGAAATGAGGGGTAAGAAATACCTACTGTGAAAACCATTCATGCCTTTCCACAAAGATGGTGATGCCAAGATAAAAGGACAAATCATAAATCTTTTTCATGGTTTTATGGCTTCTGTGAAAAGGGGTTAAATCTAACTGGGAGCCAGTGTAGGTTAATACTGGTATAATAGGCATTGCTCTCTTTGAACCATCGAAATGGTAAGCAGTTGTCTAACCTAGGCATGGATAAACTTCCCTAGGGCCTGTAAAGGGGCGAGGGAATAACTGTGATTAAAAATAAATGAACAAAAACAACAAATCACGTAAGATGAAAGACTGTGTCTTATTTGGCTGTGTAAATACAAATAGCATGTGCCCTCCAGACCTGAGGGAGGCTGAGAACAGAGTGGTCAATAAGGCCTTATCATGAGAGGTAGCGGGGGAGGGGGGGACCATCTCTTTCCCTCTCTCTTTTTTTCTCTCGCCCAGCAAGGATCACCGGAGGTCAGTGCTCCTCCATGTCTCCCAGTTCTGCCTGATCAACTCTCCAGATTATCGCTCCCCGAGGACACGTGTGCACGTGCGTGTAAAGCTGAAAGAAAATCAATTAAAGCGTCACTGATACAGAAAAGGTACACTTTATTTCCAGCGTATCTCTGCAATCTCGGTGGAGGCTGCACCGTTCCGTGAACCGAGATAGGCGTCTGACAGGAGCCTTGCTTTCCCTCCTCTCTTTTGTGTGTGCGCACTGACATTCTGAATATTTGAGAGGCTTGCCTTTTGTCATGCTGCTTTGGGGTATTGACGGACTCAGACAAACAAGCGCCACGAGGCCGAGTCGTGCCACCTCGGCTAAGAATTTCGACTTCAGGAAAGTTCGGGCTGCGAGAAACTCTTCGGTTCATCGCTTCGTCCTCTGTTGACTTTGTAGCGCTGGCAGCGGGCTGATAAATAGGGCCATCTCGGACCACGGCGGCGAAGTATCCTACGCTAGTTTTGCCCACTCCCTCCTGTTAAGGATTAAGCACCCTGTATAATTACTGTCATGTTGCCTAATGGTATCATAGCAGTGAAAAATAGCCGGAGCAGTCGTTCTCGTCTCGCATCGACTTCGTGAACAACTTCCCTGTCTCCGAATCCGTAAACAGATTTGAGAGCGAAAGGCCACGGTGTAATGAGGGCCTCGTCGCCGTCTAATCATCCATTTTAATTTCCCCGAACTCCATCCATCCAGCTGCGCCACCTCCTGTCCGTAACTACGCTTTCTTAGCCCTTTTGGTGGCATTGCTATCAAAAAGAGAACAGCAAGAGCTTGGCCTCAAGGCTGGCCCTGTAATGCCCAAGGGTCTGATTATTTTTGCACTCTGGGAGAGAGCAGAAGTACAAAAAAAACTTCTTGCAAACTTTTCCACCAAGTCCTGGCAGCAAGGGGAAGAGTGGCTGCCACTGCGAAACAAGATGCATGCTTTAATTAGTTGGGGACAGTGCCGGAGTAAATAAGGAAATAAAATAGGTAAAGAATTATTTAGTATGGAGTTTCTATGTTAGTCTTATTTTCTGCTGATTTCTGCTTTTTCTTCTTGTTTATCACCTGGTGCCAGCCACTGCAAGCCTTGCTGGATGTTTCCATCCAGCCTCACCTCTTCTCACTCCGGAGGGCTAACTTTAAGCCATTGAGGCAGAGCCCCCTGCCTGGCCTTTCCTGAAGCCTCTATCCAAGAAGGTGAAATAATGCAGAGGTGCCTGGACATCCATCAGAGTACCGACTGGAGCCACTGCATGAGCAATCAACTGGCGAGCGCCCATCTTGTCTGTACCTGTCCTCCACCAGAACCCACTTACACTATTTCTCAGTGACAGAATTGCTGCTATTTACTATCTGTATTACTTACTACAGAGAAGAGTGCTTTATATCTTAGTTTCCCCGTTGCACTGTACACAATAAAACAACTCTCTTGCTTTTGAGAAGAAATCATTAATCCAGGGGCTTTTGTTTCTGTCAGTATGGGCTTCATTTGTATCCATTTAAAGTATAATCCTCTACTAGCCTCTCACTTTTTTCCTGTCGTGGCCTTCCTGGTGCAGTACAATATAAATTTAACACTATTCTGAAAAGCATCAACATCAAAACATTCAGTTGCATCTATAGAATTATTCAGGTAGTAGTCTTATTAACCAAGCAGTCCAAGTAGATGGTTATTTATCTGTTCAAGGACCAGAAGATTCGCTAATATCTGACCTTCTCTTCTTGACAGATACCCCAAGAGGGACACAGTATAGTGCAAAAGAGACCAACTTTAATTCAGTCACAGTCAATACAGGCACTGTATTGGACACCTCCACCACATCTGAACAGCAGAGGCTGATTCCATTCTGACCTCTTTATTCTTTGAGAATACCATTTATGGACTGCTGAGGTGATGGTACTCAGCTCAAGCCAAATGTACCTATGACCATCTGTTCTTCCCATACGGTGTGACCACAGCTCTCATTCTACACCCATCTAGCCAAGCCAAAGGAGCATATGCTTGATTTAAGAGACTCAAAATACAGCATGTCGCCACACATACTGGTGGGCTATGCCATAATAAATGGAAATTTTCAAATTATTCCATCAACTTCAGGCCACTGCACTGGCCAATGGGCAGACAATTTCTCTGACTTATTACTAATTTTTGGATTTCGACATGTCCAGTGCATCTTTATGTTGCTATTGGCTTATAGTTGAATACCAGTTATCATGGTGTAGATTGAAACAGGTGCATAAACGTGCTTAAAAAGGATGAAAATTAGATACCTACATCTGTGCAATGACAGGCAGATGGTTTAAAAAAATAATAATTATGCCGTGCTGGTTCTTTTTATGTA